TCCCCTCCCCACCCCTCCCCAATCCCCTACCCCAACATCCTACTCCCCCTCTCACTCACACTTCTCAAATCTCGCGAGTATCATTATAATATTCGTTGTTGCCCTTGTCAAGTGCCTTCCGTCTTCTGCTCTTCTTATATCTGTATTATTATTTTTAAACTCAATGTCTAAGCACTATTTCGGCGTAAAGGGCTACTTATTTGTTCACGAAAATCTATAATAATTGTTGAAAAGCCAGTGCGATAAAGCAAACAATAGAAAGATACTGTTATTGTTAATATGTTAATGATCGATCCTTATTATGTTTCGGATAAACGTAATTTCATTTCAATTTTAAATTTGCAGAATGTACATGCTTTTTTTTTTTTTGTTTTTTAAACTATATTTTGCATATAATTCCCATAATTCTCTGTATCTTTATTTTTCTTTCGTTTACGACTGATGACTAAATCTGCATGCGTACACAAAGTACTTTATGCTCATTGGAACGTCTCTCTGCTGTACGAAGAAACTCATTATCATATTTCTGCGGGCGCTGCAGTCGACGAATAAGTTGGAAGGGTAGAGGTCAACAGAGCAAGCGAAAGGCCAAGGAGGTTGACGTGTTGCATAGGATTTATTAGACCGATTTTCATATGATCGAAGCAAAATTTGCAACAAAACAAAACATCAATCTATAACTTCTACGTCTTACACGAATGTACCTGGTAAAATACGAGCCATGTTGTTCAAAGAGCAATAACAACAAAAAAGAAAAAATTGCTCGAGTATTGCTCGAAAATTGCAAAAAGTAATAAAAATAACTATAAAACTTTTTACGGTCGACCTGATAAATAAAAAGAAAAAGAAAAACGTATATATTTTGTCAGAATTCTTTGATAGCACAAAAAAAGTAGAACCACACTAGTGCATCGATCCCTTTAAAAATACGAGTTTCAATTCCTATTCGCTCTCTAGATCATACTTATTGACGTTTAATATTGTTTTCTACTATGGTTAATTTAATTCAATAACTAATTTTGCACTTTTTAATAAATTCCTACATGTAAGCATTGAATGGCTCATTTTGGAATTTAGTAGTTTCTCTTTAATCGTGCATCTCCATCAAATTGAATTTGTTTGATTTTAATTGTGTTGTAGGTAAAATTTTGATATATTGAACTTACCAAAATGAGATATTTTACTCATTAACATTCTGTATCAATGATGCATTTGTCTCCCCCCTCCCCTCTCCACAACATTCTGACTTTTTTTCTGTTTTTTTCAATTCTTTTTCAATTGTTAGAACGTAAAAACGATAATGAGTTATGCTCCAATTTCTAAATAAAACTCTTTTTTTTCGAAGTTTTGTTGAACATTTATTTAAATGATTTGTAATAAAAAAGTATTTACAATTAACACATTTCATTGTTATGGTAATTAATTGTTAAATTGACACAATTTTTTCATTAAATACATTTTATAAACTGCGACTACTGTTTATTATTTTTATAATTAATAAATTTGAATTAAATAGCAATAATATTTACATATATAGATAGAAATTTATACTGTAAATCAATTTTTAATTAAATCTTAGATGATATCATTATTTACAAAATGAAACTTTACGAATTTAAGTATTACTAATAAGGAAAAGTTTAATACTTAATACATTGTTATCATTTAGAAAATATTTTTTCTATTTCTTTCTGATTTAATTAATAATGTGAATTTATAAGAATATATATATTTTTAATGCTGCATAAAAAAAAATGTATATATATATATATATATAATATACAGTTTATAAAATGTATTTAAAAACAATTTGAGTTTTTTGTACAATATTTTGGTTTTATTTAGTATGCCATCCATTAACAACTTTATTAACTTTTTTTTCACTTTTAATCAATTCACAAAATGTCTTCAAATTCATTCATGCACAACAACACTTAAGAATGTACTTTTCACTATTTTACTTCAATTTTGTTAATATCTTCGGTTAACAGTAACATTTTCAGTAATAATTCTTTTTCATAAAATAAAAAATAAATTATTTTTTAATGTTACTATTTAATAATAATTAAAATATGTAAATTATATCTTTAATTTACAGAATATATATTTACTTCACATCCATAATATAAGATTAAATTCTGGAATAAATATATAGATCATAATTATATCCTACTGACTATTTAAAGTTTATTAAATTTTCTATTATTTTTTAATATCAAATATACTGTTGCTAGTATTTCTTTGTCACTGTCTGTTACCACTTAGTGGAGTCTTCTGATCAACACAATTGTACTTCTGAAACAACTCTTGACTTCTTGCGCAATGTATTGTTTTAGTTTCTTTAAAACTAATTGTTATATATTAAATAAATAAATAAATATAAATATATGTATATTATGTGCGTGTCTGTCTGTCTCTCTCTCTCTCTCTCTCTGTGTGTTTGTGCCTATACCTGTGTCTGTGAATTAAAACATTCAATTTGCTACATATTTAAAATATATTATATTTAGTTTAAAAAATTAAATCAATATAATAATAATATTATATTCTTTTTTCATGCTATTTATATTTTATTTAAGAAACGTAATTTTGTAAAATAGCTAAAAAATCAAATCTCATAAAGGATAAATATAATAATTATAATCGAAATTATTTTTCTGACATGTTCAAGACTTAAGATGCAAATATCCAATTCGTGCATTTTATTTAGGATGTTTCTAAATTCTAAATTAATCCAAATTTAATACAGAACAAGACGGAGTACTATGTAATAAACAAGAGATTGTTACGTACAAATACGTACTAGTTTCATTTCCTAATAGGCATCGAAGATCTCCGAATTATTATTTGACGATGATGCAATTTGATTTTTTACATTATTTTGTATTTCTATTGAATATTCTGTAATCGCATTTGTAATTTTTAATATGCAACTTTTTCATAAATATGTTACTTTTTAGTGTTCATTATATTGTTTTTATACATTAATTTTAAAATATGTTAAGATTTCAAATTTACATTACTCCATTTCACCTTTAATACAGTACGTATTACTTTTAATAAATTGTTTCAATGCGTTTAAAAATCAATAATATTATCTTTGCAATACTTGGATTGTAAGTTAGAATATACTTTTATACATTTTCTAAATTCTGCCGTAAAGTAACCTGAGCACTAATATTTCAAATAAAGAAATATTTGCATTATATAAATATTCAATTATTTAAACTTTTTTATATTGTTTTTACATTTTAAATTATAGAATTTAATTTATCGAATTGTCTGGCATCATTTGGAACTCTTAAAGAAATCGACAATTTAGCAAAATATTATTTTTGTTAGTTGAATTTTACTCGAAAAAAAAAGTTGTATAATACAGTTTAATTTAGGTATAATTTTTTGTAACTGTTTTTTTATTATTATATAATTTAATAATATTATTTAATAGTATATCGAAATTAAATATAGTTATTACTTACAAATTAAACATTATAAAATGATGATTTTATATATTATAATTATTGACGAGATGCGAGTTAAGAATTTTCCACTATATTGAAAAAGCCAGTGAAGTTTTTTAAAAAATATTATAGTTTATATTCAAAGATAAATAATGTTCACAATATTTCTATAACACGTATATAATGATTAAAATATGTTCATTATGAATATGAAACAAAAAATTAGTGATCTTTATAAATAAACAGATTATGTTATAAGAACTAAAATCTTTGTATTATCAAATTTAATATATGCATATAAAACGTAATATAATAACTTAACAATCATACATGAATATTTTCTCATTTTTATACGTTTATTTTAATTCGATAAAGAACGATACATTTAATAT